CCCCCCCCCCCCCCACCCCCCACCTCCAACAAATAAAATAAAATAAAATAAAAAACCCAGCTCCATGAAGAAAAAGGGATGTAAAGTAGGGGAATATAACTCTTAAAAAATGAGAATATTACACAAAAACACTTTTATCCTTTATATTAAGAGATGAAATTCAAATGGATGAAATAGCATGTAAATTATTTATGTAATATTATCTTCCCTTCATTTTATGAAACTTTTCGTATGGGTAAAATAAGTTCTCATTGACTGCCCTTATTAATTTTTTGAATAAATTTTACATTTTCTCTTACTCTTTCTTAACTTAATCTATCATATATAACCTTAACTTCTCTCACTAGGCACAAAATCCAAAGGGTGGCACTACAGGCACACCCTCAGGCACACCTTGTGCCACACCCCCTCTCTCAGCTACAGTGCACGGGGCCTATACATGGGATTAAAAAATCCCATGTGAGGGCCTCATGCACTGTAGCTGAGAGAGGGGGTGTGACACAAGGTGTGCCTGTACCATTTTCCAAATCCAAACGAGCCAATAGGATAACACAGTGACACACCGTCCATGGCACGCCAAAAATCATATTTACGCTGCCACGAAATTCATGAGGTAAAAAAAAAACGATACTATGAAAGAAACATTGACCATTGAGAGAGGATCGGTATGAAATTTACCCTTTATTTATTAATTGTTTAAATAATAATAAAAAATAGAGATATACATATATTTACTCCGCACAATTATAATAAGTCCTCAAATCTATCAACGTTGTCACTTGTCGTCCCTTTCTTCAAGAACTTTTGTATTCTCCCTCGATCCTCATAACCAAGCCTCCGCTCCAATTTAATTACCATCTCGGTCCGTGATCAGCCACCCATTCCAAAAACCAAATATGCCGCCACGTGTCCGCTACGGTAAAATGTAGCGCAGGAACCGCGAACTGACCAACGTCTGTTAAAATCTGACCGGTTCCCAAATTCTTACACTGCCCACGTGTCGCCATCCAATTGGCCCCCTCCTCCACGCGAGCGATCGCAGCTTCCCCTCGACCCCTTCACCACCTGCCACGTGGCGTCACCTCCCTCGATCGGCCGGTCGAAGCATCAGCGCTCTCCTGACCCCGGGTCCCACAGATTCCGCTGGCATCGCGGGTGAGATTACTCGCGGCCACTCCAGAATCGACTCCAGCTCCCCGACGTCGCTCTCCGGCACCGTTAACGAGATGTCGCGCCAGTTCACGGCGTCCGGAAACGGCAAACGGATTCCGTCGGCGATGATGACCGGCACGCAGCCGAGGGCGACCGACTCTACCAGTCGCGGGCTCCATGGGGCCCACCCCAGCGGGCAGAGGCAGAAAACCGATCGCGATATTTCGGACTGATACCCATCGAATCGTTTCCTTCTCAGGTAAAACTTCCGGTTGTTACTGTACTGGTTCCAAACCGCCGTCCTCACCTTCCTGTGAAAGAAAATTTTCAAATTAGGGAGGGCTTATATGACAAATGGGCATGCATCATTTCGTAGGTTTATTTGTACAAATATACACTCTAACCTATTCATCTTCGCATATTCTACCTTTCAAGTTACAAATTTTTGCTAATTGCACTAATATTCTTCGAAATTAAGTTAAACTACTCTTCCATTGAGCACCGTTAATTTTAAACTGAAAAGGGATAAAAATGACGGAATACCTCGCTTTTTCCTAAAAAGTTAAGGGTTCCACTAATTTGTAGATTATACCCTCTACATGACTACTAATTTATCTCTACGAACTTCAATGTTAAATGCAAGATGTGTAAAACTTGAATGGGAGAAATCAATAGTGATAAATTTTAGTAAATACGACTTGTTGTGAAAACGAAATCTGAAAATAGAATAAATTTGAGAAATACATAGTAAAAAGACTATTTCCGTAATAAATTTACCAAGTTTCGAACTCGTAACTACTTTAGGTAATTATTATTCTCTACTCACTTGCTGTAATAACGCCCGCTAATATTTTTAGGATGGACCTCCATCTTCCCCCTGAAAAAGACGAAAATGTCCCTCTTCTTCGTCTCGGGAGGCGGCGATCGGAGCACCTCCGGCGGTATATACGGCGGTATGAGCACGTGCTCCGCTTCCTGGCACCTGTGCGGTGAGATTACCCCGAACGTCTGCAGCAGAATCGAGCTCTTCAAGAACCCAGGAATCCCATCGGCGATCGCCACATCCTCCATCGCATGGAAGCAAGCTCCGTAGTCATGGGACGCGACAAAGATGTGATCTTGGCCATTGGTCCGATTCCAAAACGGAAACTTTGTCTTGATTTCAGCGATTGAAGAGGCGATCAAAGAGCGGGCGTGCGTCAACGAAGGGAACCCGTTGACAGTAGAGAAGTTGCAGGAGACGTAAACGGGAACAAAGAAGAAATCGGCTTCGTCCGGGTTCAAAGTTCTGAACTTTGAAGTGAGGAGAGCTTCGTGGATCGCTACTTCAGCCGCAAACAGATGGGACCCACATCTGGGATTATCGAGCCAATCTCCGTTGTAGCGTGGAGGGAGATTGTAGACGTAGATTTTGAGAGGGGTTTTGGGCCTTGGGGCTTGTTCGATGAGAGCTCTGGAGGGTGTTTTTTGCAAAGAGATTGTGGTTTTACTTCTGTCGAGGGATGGGCTTGGGAAAGAGAAGAAAGAGGAAGACGACGACGAAGAGGAGAAGAAGAGGTAGAGGGAGAGGGAGAGCCAGAGGAGAAGACGGTAGTGTCTTCTGACAAAAGAAGATTGTTGCGGGGCTTTTTTGTGAAGGAGCTTCATCTGGGAGGTGTTGGGTTTGAGCTTGAGCTTCATGGTGAGGAGGGGCTTTAAAAAAAAATTTAAAGAGAGAGAGAGAGATGGGTTTTTTTTTTGGTGAAATGAGGCTTTCAGAAATTGCAGTAGGATGGAGGAGAAAGAGATCGGAAGGGAGGAGATTAAAGAGTCTGTTGGTGTTGTGTGGTTTTCTTTTGAGTTTTATTAACCTGTTGTTGTTGGATTTCTCTGTTTTGGGTAAATCTGAATTTATGAGGTTGGTTATTTTTGGGGGTATTTAATTTGTTGGTGTTAGTTAAAATAAGAAACATGTTGGTGGGAAGGTGTTTTCTTTTTGGGAAAATTTCTGGTAAACCCCCTAAGTTTAATGCGTTTGCAGGTGTGAGATGTAATTATTTGCATGTTGTGGTTATTCATTACCCGTTTGCCATAAACAAAAATAAAAATAAAATATGGTACAGTTGAAGATACATATATTCCATCTAAATCTGGTGTGTGATTATGGATCAAACTTATAGGGGCTGTTTGGTTGTATGTTTTTACCATGTAAAAGGATGGAAAGTGTAAAAAAGTAGGTCTCAATGTCAGCTTTCATTACTTTACATTGTTTGTTTAAATTCTCTTTTACATGGAAAGCTTACAACTTTTGATGAGGTGTCACCGAAAGCAAAATCACCAAAATTAGGAGTGATTTTGTTGGAAAGCTTACACAATGTCATAAATGTGTCCAAAAAAATATTAAAAAAGTTAAAATCTTGTAGAAAGTGGTGAGGTGGATAACCACTTTCTATTTTTTGTCATAAATACTCTAGTTTACATTATGCTATCCAAACAATGTAATACTATTATTTTAGGATTCACAAAGATTCCTAACCAAACAATGTAAACACTCGAATGAAAAGTGATGAGGTGGATAACCACTTTCTATTTTGTGTCATAAATACTCTAGTTTACTAATGGCATCCAAACAGCCCCATATGGATTAGATCAAAATTTAGAAACTTGACCCGGTGCAACTCTTTTACTATGCCAATATTCAACCTTCTAAAACTAGTAGTTTGAAACATTTTTTATACACGAGATTCAAAATAATATAGCAACTTGAAAAGATGATACAATTTCATCTCACTGCGCTACTTGAGTGTCTACTTTAAATCGTTCATAGTGTTATGAATTTCATTTTCTAATAACTTTTTATGGTTAATGTATGTGTGTGCGTATAAAAATATAAAACTTATTTTACCTACTCTATTACTGTCTGGTAAATCGAAAATATCCTATCACATGCATATTTGCTTTTAGTAGAAAAATAAGTTTTCGGGTACATGAATACGAATTTGGAAATCTTTATGTATGCAAATAATAAGTTAAAATACATAAAATTTGTATTCCACAGGGAATCATATGCAAAAAGTTCCATCTGTATTTTATTTTTCATCCGGAGCTTGTGCAGTGGGTGGTTTGGAGTTGGGACTCTGAGCTCGGTCACATGACAACAACGGCACTGTTCTGTTTTTAAAATGAAACAGCTTTATTGTTTTGGATGCTGGCCTGTCATGTTCTTGTGTTGGTGCGAAAGGGTGCTTTCTGTGAACTTCAATTGTTGTCACGGGTGAAATTATTAAATTAATCATTAGCTATCTTGCTGTCGTCATTATTGGATAATCCGTCCGGATCCTTAGTTATTACAGCTATCTTGCGGTCGATGATACAATCTCATTCTAAGGGGCTGTTTGGTTGTGTTGTTGGTAAAGCTGTGTATTTATGACACAACTTGGAAAGTTGTTGTCCACCTCATCAATTTCACTTGTATACTTTTCTTTGTTTGTTTTTGATTCCATTGGAATCATAAATTGCTTGTTTGGTTTACAAATGTAACTTTAATTGTTTGTTTGGAAAGTGTAAAAAGTGGTCCCTACTCAAATGATCATATTAGTTGGAATTATTTTTTATTATTTTTCCTGATTCCAATGTCAGCTTTCTCCTAAAATCATGTCTTTTTTTTTATGAAATCACTTTACAAGCCACATCAGCATATGAAATCACTTTACACTATTTTCACAACTACAAACAAACAATTGAAAGTGATGAAAGGTGACAATGGGACCCACTTTTTTACACTTTCCATCCTTTTACATGGTAAAAACATACAACCAAACAGCCCCTAATTTCACTTCTCACTCTGAAAAAAAATACAACCATCCGTTAAACAACAAATATTTTCGATTGGAAAAAAATAAAAAGATCTCAAAGCAATTATACTGGCTTGATTTAGTTAGTGTTGAGGAATAAACATGATGGAATGTGAACAACTTCTCTCGTTGCAAAATTTTCACAGCAGAAAATACATGACTGAAAAATAAAGTTAAATTTAGCTTAGAAGCTAAGGGTGTGATCACTTTTCATAAGCACCTGATTGTGATTAATGGGCTTTGCTAAGATTAGATGCCATCTCATTTTCACAGTGATCCGGTACCACTGTGAATTGTTTACCTTTTCTTATACAAATTTATTTCCAATTAATATTACTTCCAATATTATACAAAATTAGAGTAGGGAATGCTAAGATCGTGTGCTAATGCTTAAGTAGCTCTTCTGATTATTCCCACTTGATTAGCTCTCTGAATTATTTTCATTTCAACTCCTCGTTTAGAATAAATCGTAACTATATATTCATGAAATCGTAAATTAGACCCCTCAGTAATGGAGTTTGTTTTGCATGGTTAATGTTAACGAATAAAAATCCAAGGACTATTCTTTTCGGAATATAAAAATGGGGGAGTGCGTACGTGACCTGCACCTCACTACAATTTTTAATTTTTAACAATAAGGGGGGAAAATACACAATTACAAAATAATGTTATTTAGCTTAGAAGGTAAGCGATCAATACTACTTTTTATCGGCGTTTGATTGTGATTTTAGTGGTCTTTGCTTATATATTAGATGTCATGTCATTTTCCTTATGGACCGAATGCACTACGACTGTTCGCCTTTTTCTTATATAAAACAATTCCTTGACACGTAATATTGGTCCCAGTCTTGTTGGCCATTTCTTACATTTTCAGTCAAAAATCTTTGATGTATGAAATTGCGCACATTTTGATGTAGGGATTGTTAAGCTTGTGCGTAAAGGTACGTTGCTTGATGTTGATAATAGTGTATTATAGTGAGTTTTAGTCCTATATTGCTTGGGAGAACAAACCTCACACTCCTCTACTTGTATAAATATATGTGCATACTCAATATTCAATTCAAGGGAAATTTACCCAAGATTCTCTCTCTCTTACTTTAACATGGTATCAGAGCTAGGGCTATTTCTCTTCCAATAAATTTTTTTAACGCTTCTGCGTTCTTTTGCCAAATCTTGGTCTTATTGCTTTGCAGCCGTTTAATGTTTTTTTTCTGCCAGATATTTTGGCTTTATCGCTTTGCGGCCTCTTAACGCGTTTCGCGTTCTCGTTTAACCTTCGGGTTTCATTCTAACATTCGGGTTCTATTTTAACGGCATTGCCATTTCAAGACCGTCTCTCGGTCTTAAATTAACGGCATCGTCGTTTCAAGCCGTCTCTCGGCCTCAAAAGAACGACATTGCCGTTTTGCAGTCAGTAACGGCATCTCGACATCTTAACGTCTCAACATTGCTGTTATGGCTCCTTCAGAGAAGATTCCCAAACCACATTTGCCCCTCAATGATCAAAGTGACTGGGCAGGGTGGTCCATCATTGTCACCAATGCCTTGCGTGGCGCTGGTTTGCTTGATCATCTCACCAGTACGGGACCAGTTCCACCGTCCATCAGCACTGTTGCTTCATCCAGTACTATTACCTCTGGCAGTGGTAATGTCGATCTACAGACTGCTCGTGCTCTCTATGTCAAGGAGAGTTCAGAGTGGCAATTGCAGGAATTTTCGTGTCATGGATTATCTCACTCGCTGTGTTGGCTCTGGTCTCACTGTCGAGATTAGTTCGCTTCCCTCTGCTCGGGCCATGTGGACTCGTCTCACTGAGCGTTTCACTGAGTGCTCGGTGCACGGGAGGCATATCTTCTGCAACGCATTGCTCTACAACGCAAAGGTAGTTCATCTCTGCAGTCCCATTTTGGACAAATACAAGCTTTTTGGACAGAGTTACGCTCCATGCTTCCTGGACGTAATTCCACATATGAAGACTGGCTAGCCTGGTACGAACGGCATGAGGTGCATCAATTGTTTCAGTCCCTTCCTGAATATTCAACTATGGCTAATCAACTACTTCATCAGCCTCAATTTCTGACTTTGGCCTCAGTTATGGGAGCTCTCACTGCTTATGAGACCCGGCAGCAGACAGCACGACTCAATTTGTCAACAGACATTCCTACCTCTTCACTCGAGACTGTTTTGTCTTTACCTATCACTGCTCCTGTTATAAATCATACTTCTCCACAGGCTCGATCTAAGCTCTCTTGCAAATATTGCAAGAAGGAAGGACACCGTATTGAGACATGCTTCAAGCTTCATCCTGAGTTACGTTCCTCAGGTACTGGTCGTGGTCGGCGACCCCCTCAGTCTCAACCCTCTCGTACACCAGGATTGTTGGCCAATGCTATACCTTCTACTACTTCAAACTCTACTATTCAAGCTATTGAAAGTCTTCGCCGTCAACTTGATGCTTTTCAACATATCACCTCTACATCCGCCGCACAACTCTCTGGTATGCATTTTGCTGGTTCTTCAGCTAATCCTTCAGTCTCTGGTATGAATGATCTCTGGATTTTTGACTCTGGTTGTTCCTTTCATATGACTTGTAATGCCTCACTTTTATCCTCTGTCTTTACTTCATCCTCTCTTCCTCCTATCTACACAGCTGCTGGACAACCATTGTCCATTACTCAGTATGGCTCTATTACCCCACAAAATGATCCATCTGGTCGTCTAACACTTGGTCCCGTCTATGTGGCTCCACAATTGTGCTTGAATTTAATTTCTATTAGCTCTTTATGCATGGCGGGCCTGTTTGTCTCATTTTCTTCTGATACTTGTATTGTGCAGGATCCACAGACGGGCAAGACGGTTGGGGCGGGTCGTAGGAAGCACAAACTGTATTTTCTGGAATATCTTCACCTTCCAGAGTCCATACGTCCACGTTCTCTTGTTGCTTCTCTTCGTTCGTCAAAACCCTCTACCTCGCTTCCTGCCAATTTATGGCATAGACGACTTGGTCATGTGTGTAATAAAAGGCTGGAGAGTCTTATTCAGTCTGGAGTACTTGGTCCTGTATCATCTAGTTCT